GTATCAGGTCAACTAAACATGGGCATAGTAACAATATTTATTATTCTACATTTATACATTTTAGGCAACTATGGTAAAAAAATGTAATTAATTTAGAAAATCTTTTCAGGACCCCACYTTGATGTTTCAGGACCCCATTTTGGGTTCCGACCCCAACTTTGGGAACCACTGCTGTAACTAATGTGTTCAGCTCGTTATAACTCATGTCCAAACAACCTGGTAAGAAATATTTCATAAATGCAGTACCAATAAACAGCTTGGCACTGAGTTTAGAATTTAACCCTAATAAATAAAGAACAAGTTCATTTCAAACGAAGGAATTTTTTATTTTCTCTCTTACAGCCTCTATCACCTTATGAAGAATTTTGAAGCAAACAAAAATCTGCTTTGTTTTTTTAATTACATCTCAACAAATCAACATTTCTGTCATACACTCGAGATGACAAACAAAATTTTTAAAAAGCACCAAAACTTGATCCTAAAATGTTCAGTTGTGGGAGCTTAAGAGCGAAAAGTGGAAACATTTGACTTTGAGACTGACCAGCTGCTTCAATAGTTCAGATACACGATACAACAGCAGATAAAAATCAACTTCACCAGGACTTTGGATGAAGGATGTCACTCGATTAAAAAAAATCTCTTATCAGTTGCTTCAAGCTGCAAATTAGTTTGAGCTGAAATCCAATTTGTACAGCCGACGGACATTCCTTGATGCAACTTTAAGCTTGTTCCACACCTACTAAGAACAGATGTTCTAAAGACTTTTTAATCAACGCCACACAACCCACATGTGAACAAATGAGAGGAGAAGGAGTTGCTTAACACACCCAGTCTGTTGCCCAACTGCACATTATGGATTGAGCTAAAATGTCAACAACATTCAAGCTGTTGTTGCTCCAGAAACTGTCCTGTGGGGTCTTCTCAATTAAAATATAAACAAAACTAATTTGTTTAAATACTAGATAAAAAATTTATAAAAAATATTTAAAGAGTAACTTACCCCAAAATTAACTTTTTTTTAGCTGATAAACTGTCTAGAAT